TATTATTATTATTACCATTATTATTTAGGTTTTTTTGTCCAATATAATCTCGGCATCATTGAAAACGAGGGTACATCCCTCGATGTATTCCCGAGAAGTAAATAAAGGTTGAATGACATCTAATAAAACAAATATTCAAAGCCTTTCATGAAGGCGGAGAGCCCTAAAATGTTGCCTTTGGACCTGGAAGCCGGCTTCCCTTTAATACACTCATTTGAATAAGGAGGGTGAACAAATAGGGTACGATTCTCAAAATAATCTAAACATCCTTCCTTGTTTACTTCCACGAGTCTAAACGCAGTGGCACACTCGCAGTGTGCCGGTCGCCCGGGGGAACTGCCTTGTGTTTTATGCATCCACACAGACCTGTTGCTGGCCCTTTACAGCCACCTCTTCCATTATGAATGTGGAACGTAGCAGAGGGAATAACACTAACCCTAACGACAGCAGCAGTCAACACCATCAACAACAGCACCATATATTATAAATGTATGAGAGTATTCATTCGGCAGATCTCTTAACATTTATCACCCATGTTTCCATGTAAAGACATGTAAATATCAGCATGCTGTACTTCTTAGGGCCCAACCAAAGCACATCTTGGTCGACTGACATTTTTGAAACTTCTCTTCAACCGACCGATCGATTGATGGGGAACAAAAGAGAAATCGGCCACCGTGCACTCTACCTGGTAGCCTGACTGAATATACATAAACGTATACAAGCTATTTGCAGCATATAAACTTATTTTTAACTTAATTATTATACACTTTAATGCACACTGTGCTCCTGCCAATATTCATATGATTTCCAAAAATAGAACAAGCCATCAAAGCCGTTGCAAGGGGATGCCGTTATATTTCAAACTAAAGGATTAGGCTATTGATAAGAGCAAACATACTGAAATATGCCAATTCTGACGTGTTCACACTCAAAGGCAAGTGATTTCTTTAATACCCGCACCATCCGACCTGCAAAAATATGCATTAATCAAGCACCCGAACCCGACCCGCAAACCGCCAAATGTATGGATTATAGTAAATATCATAATTGTCTGGACTGAAGACCAAGACGAGGACAGAGACAATCACCTCGTAGCTTCTCCTGCTGGGAGCAGCTGCAGCTAGAGAGTCGTCCAGGTTGCTCCTTTTCTCCTCCTCGTCCACAGCAGTGAGAAGATCCAGGCTAGGTGAAGGGGGAAAAATGCATCCAAACGTTGCTCTTTACTTTTAAAAAGCAGCAAAGAAACAATTAACTCCATATCTCTCTCACACATGCTTATCCCGCTGCCGAATAGTGGATTAAGAAGCGCTTTTCTCCTCAAAGAACACCGGCGACTGTCTGACCGATGAGAATTTGGTCGGACAAGAGCAATGTGGACCAACCAATGGACCAACCTACCAGGTGGTGTCAGCCCTCATACTTTTTATTTTCACGAGCACTGGGAACGCTCCTCATAAGGGCTTCAATGCAAAAAATGGGAACATATTTTATTTTGCTCACAAATATAGCGAGCAAATCCACAACATCAATCCTACAAAATCTCTCAACTCTAAGGTTGAGATTTGACTTAAGAAAATATCTCTTTCCCCCTCAACATGAACATATGCTGCATATCAAACTAAACTGCCAGCAGCGGTAGAGACGTCCCACAGAGCAACGAAGACATCCAGCGTGTGGATTGTTCGCTGCTTACAGAGTGAGGACACTGTTCCAGGTTAGGATCCCAAAAACAATCTGAGGTGACACAGGCATTGGTCTGTTCTGTTGCCGGGGCTGGAACGGCTATTTCTGGACGGGCTCCTATGATTCATCAGTGGCTGTTTGGAAGTCTGACGTGTCAAGATGTGTCACTCCGCTAATTGTCACTCTGACTTATCCTAAGCCCTCTCCAGCCCCGGAGCTCTCTCCTGACCTGAGATAATTCCGGTATACCAAACTAAGCCGAGGGAGACGGTTTTACACACCTCAGGGAAGGAGAACGTGGTTTAGTGCACAGCCAGACTGCAAACGCCTTTGATGCTTTTCTGAACACGGAAACCAGTTTCTTTCTTCGTACAGGTCAGATTTTAGATCAGAAAATCCGTTTTTGAAGTGTGGAGACACTCAAAAGTAATCACCCTGTATTCCTAATTTCACCAAGTGTTAATAAATGATGAGGTGTCCTGAGAAATTCTTTCTCATCATGGCGATTCCTTCACCGAGTCAGTTATATATCAGGACACAGTGTTATTACACAACCTGCCATCTATGTTCTATCAATAGCTGCAACCTGCGATCATGTGGACACAACAGGTGCCGTCATTCGAGGACTCTGCAGTCCTCCTCAGCTCTGCAGAGCTTTACAGTGATCTTCAGCTCATTATTTTGAGATTGAGAGACTTGCTGGTGAACAAATTGAAGCATTCAGCAGCTATGGAGCCAGATATGGGTCCAAAAGACAGCGTTGTCCAAAATAAATAGATCATGAATAAGCATCTTTCATACAAGAAATGCATCCCATAGTGCTTTACAGATACAAAAACAAAAAAACAGGGAAAATAAAACACACTTGATAAAATAAGTAAAAAAAATGTGTTTTTCAATAATGTTAGATTATTGCTACATTTACCTGTATGGTAAAAAACTATATATTAAATGTCCCGTTTATCATTGTATAGGGTGTAGAAAGTTCCTCTGCTTCTATTTCATAATGCTCACATGTCCCAGTTTTAGTTTACTTCTGTCTTGCATCTTTTTTTCCCTTCATCTTTGCTGCTGTGGGATCAATAAAGATCGTATCTTAGTTTATCTAAAATCCCATGCTCTACAAAGCAAGTAGCAACTCATCAGATGCATATAAAAGCGCACCATCCACTTTTGATATGAAGTGGAGTTAAAATCCATGAAAATAGCTCCGCTCAGAGCACCAAACCGCACTCGAGTGCAGTTCTGGAGTGAATGTACCTCGTCCTCCACCAGACGTCTACTGGGAATGAGCAGGATTAGGAATATATGAACTCTATCTCTGAAAAGCCCAAATATTCAGGCCTGGACTGTCATCAACCTCAAACTTTCCACAACTTCTGTACCAGTGGCAGCCCTGATAGGATTTATAAAACTACATTTAATGGGCAACTAAGCCCGGCTTGCTTTGTGTTTCGCCGGTGCCGAAAATAAACGTTCACTTCAACAATGATGAACTGCTGGTTATAATAATGATAGCATTTTTATGCACATTTACATCCCAATATTATTCAGGAGGCTCAACATTTCCATGTGGGGCATGAAAACACCACATATACCCATGTGGTATAAGCCCCCATCATGATGATGTGCTGGGGTAGGCTCGTGTTACCCAGGGTATCCTATTTAATGGTATTTTTTCTGTGGTCACACCGAGTTCTCTTTTCATAATATTACCACAGTATTCAGATTAATTATGTATGCTGGGGTATTTGTGATTAGGATATGAATATGCATATAAACAGCTTAGCCCAAATATGACCTCAACTGGAGCACGAGCTGGTATGCACACTGTCCTCTCTGTGTGACTGTGCTCGTTGGTGCGATGTCACTTCCACTGAAATGTTCTAATAAGCTTGACTTAATGGGTCCACCGTGGAGACTTGTGATTAAAAACAGACACCGCATATTTCTTCGCCGATTTAATGTCTTGATTTTCATTGTTACAATATTGAAGTGAAATTTATGGGGGCTTAAGTCTGTGGTTAAGTTGTGGATGTTAAAGCCACAGTGAGGAACTTTTAACTGGTTGTTAAACAATCTCAATTAAATACTGAAGCCTCTATATGACCTTGTCGGTCATTTCTATATTGTGGTTCTTCATGCTTGTTAACTGTGCCACTGGGTTAGATTCTAGCTAAATACGACAAAATCATGCAGGTATTAAGGTAATCTGGTGCTTGGAAACACTACCGCTTATGTCCACAGGGACCGCCAAAATCAACTCAAAGTCAAAGTTCCTCGCAGTAGCTTTAAGCATGCTTGTGTGTATATGCTGGAGCCCCTTATTCATAACAATTGATTGTGTTTTATAAGATTTATGTTAAGTTTTGTATATATAATATTGTATCTGCAAAGTAGGCTGAATATGGAAGTAAAATAAATTAGGTAACATTGACAATAGTGGCGTATAAAGATGCATAAAACAGAAACCCCAAACTTACATTATCACCTCCCACCACTGCTTGTGTATCACCTTTTTTGCATGTTGTCTTTTATTCACCAGAAACAGGTAGTCTCATTAGGATAGAAAATAAGAACTAAAAGAAAAATGTCCGTGGAAGGGGCTTCCTAA